TAGATAGATAGATAGATAGATAGATAGATAGATAGATAGATAGATAGATAGATAGATAGATAGATAGATAGATAGATAGATAGATAGATAGATAGATAGATAGATAGATAGAAGGACGGACGGACGGACGGACGGACGGACATTGACAAGTTACTATATATTGACAAGCTCCCAAGTCGCTATATTTATTGACACATCACTATCTCAGAAACAAGTCTCCCTCTAAGGTGTGTGACTGAGTGAGCGTGCTTGACTCCGCTCCACCCCCCTGGACAGCTTTCCTTCCTTGTGCACCACAGCTATTGTTTCTAGTACCTTTCATTTCTGCCGCAGCGCAGCCCAATGCAGGGGAGTCAACTCACACATGGGGGTGGAAATTAGAGGGAATATTGATCAGAAAGGGGGTTTCTGTTTAGGAAAGTGTCCCTCAGTTGCACTGGCTGCTCCTGCAGAAACACATTGTATGCAGTGGACTTGGAATATCTGCACAGCAGTACTGGTGATTACCCCCTCCGGTGACATTGTATCTTCAATGTATCTTCCATCAGGAAAGAAAAAATTATTACTTGGCAGTAGAGATGGGGGTACAGTGGTGCCTCGCTTAACGACAATAATCCGTTCCAGGAAAATCGCTGTTAAGCAAAAACATAGTAAAGCAAAAAAACCCATTGAAACACATTGAAACCCATTCAATGCGTTCCAATGGAGTAAAAACTCACAGTCCAGCGAAGATCCTCCATACAGCGGCCATTTTCGCTGCCTGTATAGCGCAATCATCGCAAAGCGAAATTCCCCCATTCAGACCATCATTTTGCAATCACAATTGCGATCGCAAAAAGATCGTCGTTAAGCGGATTCATCGTAATGCAGGGCAATCGTAAAGCGAGGCACCACTGTATTTGTTTACAAATACGAAGATCCCTGCACACCTGGAGTTAATGGGGGTCCACCCCCCAGGGCCGGGCCGTCCACTTACATGTCCGGCAGGGGCAGCAGCCTCACTCATCCTTTCAATCACTCCCGGAGCCCTGCTCTCTTCCTTCTTGGCTGGCCACTCCAGGTAAGGGAAGGGAGGACGAGTCTTGCCAAGTCACTAGCCGAGCAGGAAGAGCGCGGGGCTCTGGGAGTGACTGAAGGGATGAGCGAGGCTGCCGCCACTGCTGGATGCATGAGCAGATGGTCCAGCCCCATGGGGCAGACTCTCATTGACTCCAGCTGCGCAGGGATATTCTTATTCGTATACTAATACTCTCATCTCTACTCGTCAGTAATGTAATGGCAGTGACCCCCCCCTCCCAGTGACATACTTTTACCAACGTATTGATGCACCAGGCATGAAAACTTTTAAAAAAATAATGTGCATGTTGCAGTAATGGTGGTCACCTTTCTTGCTTTTGATTTTGAAAAGAATTGGGACAGGTTGTGCACATAGGCAATCCCGGTAAGGAATGTACCTGTACAACAATGGTACATAATAACACAACCCTCCTGGTGATGGGGAAGTGTTGTTCCACAGTTCCACTGCTAGCCAAGAAAATGCCTCGGTCTTGACTCTGCATTGTATGGCCAGGAAAAAAAAATGCTGATACAAGTGGAGGATGACTACATAACATTTGCCTCGTGTGACCATGGCCTCTGTCTTTGTCTCCTACCATTTGTGTAAGTGGATAGAAAGCAGAAGAGATCATTTTTTAAACTGAAATCCAGTTCTAGCCAACATAGGACTGTTTAAAGTTGTCTTTATAGACCCTAAAATCTATACAGTAAGTGTGTACAACTTTTGGGGAAACATAGGCCGTTCTCCTGCTCCCAGCACTCCAAATTATGAGGGAATTCCCCCAATTTTGTGGGAAATTCATTTCTTGTTTCTGTGATTCCACTTCCACTTTTGTTCTTAGATAGAGTCTGCATTCCATTTAATAGCTTCTACTTCACTCCTCGTGCCTTCTCGAAATGGGGGAAAGACATTTGTTTTTTTTAAAAAAAAACACTAAAAATTGATTTGAAGTTGTCCCCCCCCCCGCCATCTCATACAGCATCTGCACTTAGAAAATGTAAAAGAAAGTACATGTCCATAGGTAGCACTTAAAGATACACACAAGATACGGTACTATAGGAGGGACTTAAAATATAGACATTTTTAAAAATATATATACATAGATCAAATCATATTTGTTTTACCACATCTATTGTGACATTGGTATGTGGATTAGTGAGGACACTCAATGACTTCAAGTAATGAAACATGGAGGGAACAGTATGGATCCAGCAGCTGATCAAAAGCCTCACATGTACATTATAGCTGACTGCCACACGTCTCAGAGCGTTGTCAATAGGTGGCCAATATCTGCAAAAAAAGTATTTTGATACAACAATTAAAAACTGTGTTTCTTTCTTTCTTTCTTTCTTTCTTTCTTTCTTTGTTCATTCATTCAGCTTTTACCCCACCCATCTAGATCCAAATGAATCTACTCTGTGCAGCTTACAGTCCTAGCAATATAAAACAAGAATTAAAACAGACAATATTCAAACAAAAAAGAGAAGTAAGCAAAGTCCAGGATGGGAAAACATAAGGAACTAAGTGATGGAAGGGGAGAAGGCCTGAAGAACTAGGTCTTCAGCTTGTTCTTAAACACTCCCAGCGAGGGTGCCAGGTGAATCTCACGGGCCAAGATGTTCCAGAGGTGAGGGGCCACCCCCGAGAAGGCCCCTTCCAGAGGTGAGGGGCCACCACCGAGAAGGCCCCGTTCATGTTCTTGCCTTCTGGGCCTCTCTTGGGGTCAAGCCCCTCAGCCGCCCGAGCTAGGTGGGAGCAGGTGCTCTGCCAGATATCGAGGTCCTAAACCATTTAGGGCTTTATATGTAAGCATTAATACCTTGAAGTCAATGCAGAAACAAATGGGCAACCAGTGTCCTGCCGCCAGAGTGGGGGAAATGTGATGAAATTGTTTTCACCCCAGTGAATATTCTGGCAGACATATTCTGGACCATTTGTAGTTTCCACATCAATCTCATGGGCAGCCCCATGTAGAGCGCATTACAGTAGTCTAATCTTGAGACTACGAGTGCATGGACCAGAGTAGTGAGCACCCCAACTTTAAGATAGGAGTGCAGTTGGGCAATCCGCCGAAGATGTAAATGGGCGGTACGGACCACAGACGCTACCTGGGACTCCATGGTAAGCACCTGGTCAACATAGACCCCCAAGCTGCAGACCACACTCTTTGTGGTGAGAGTCGCCCCCCCCACAAAGAGAGGGAGCTTCCAAAACCACTGATAGGAGGGGCGCCCACCCTCAAGACCTCGGTTAGTTAGTCTGTTGTTTTTATTTATGGTGTCGTGCTCTGTATGGAGGACTTGGAACAGCGTCTAGTGTGGCTGAAGAGGCCAATTCGAGAGTGGCAATCTCTTCCACACTGAAGACAAATCCAATCTGTCCCCTGTCCAGCTCCTTGGTTTTGCTGTTTTTGTGACTTCCTCTTTGCCTCGGCCTGCTGGACAAGGGTCTCTTCAAATTGGGAGAGGCCGTGATGCAATGCCTGCCTCCAGGCTGAGTGCTCAGATGTCAGGGTTTCCCATCTGTTGAGGTCCATTCCTAAGGCCTTCAGATCCCGCTTGCAGATATCCTTGTATCGCAGCTGTGGTCTCCCTCTGGGGCGATTTCCCTGCACTAATTCTCCATACACGAGATCCTTATTTATTTTATTAGTTTTGTTTATATGCTACATTTCTTCCAACAAGGGACCCAAAGTGGCTCACAACATTAAAGTTCACACAATTTAAAAGCACAATAAGTTAACTATTAAAAGATAAATTAAACAATATATGATTTACAATACAATTAAAAGATTGAACCATGAAATCATAAAAGAGATTATCTTGTAACAGGTGCATTATATGCTCCCTGTAGCTGCCCCCAGTCAGTCGTCTGGCTGCAGAGTTTTGCACACCTGAAGTTTCCGAAACGTCTTCAAAGGCAGCCCCACATAGAGCGCATTACAGTAATCCAAATGGGATGTATCTAAGGCATATGTCACTGTAGCCAGATCTGACATCTCAAGGAACAGGCACAGGTGGCACACCAACTTTAGCTGTGCCAATGCACTCCAGGCCACCACTGAGACCTGGACATCCAAGCTTAGGGATGAACTCAGGAGTACATCCAAGCTGTGAATCTGAGTTTTCAGGGGGAGTGCAACCCCATTCAGCACAGGTAGTATCCCTATTCCCTCATCTGCCTTCCGACAAACCAGTAGCACCTCTGTCTTGTCTGGATTAAGTTTCAGTTTGTTTGCCCTTATCTAGCCCATTACTGATGCCAAGCACTGTTTTAGAGTCAAGACAGTTTCCCTGGAATTAGGTGGAAAGGAGAGACAGAAAGTTGAGTGTCATCTGCATGCTGGTGACACCAAACCCCAAAACTCCAGATAATCTCTCCCAGTGGTTTCATGTAGATATTAAAAAGCATGGGTAACAAAGCAGAACCTTGAGGAATGCCACGGGCCAAGGGCCAGGGCATTGACCAGGAGTCACCCAGCACCACCTTCTGAGTTCTCCCCTCCAGGAAGGACTGGAGCCACTGTAAAACAGTACCTTCAAGTACCATCCCAGAGAGGCAGCCCAGAAGGATACCATGGTCGATGGTATTGAAAGCCACTGAGAAGTCCAGCAAAACCAACAGGGACAATCTCCCCCTGTCCAGTTCCCAACATAGGTCATCCACCAAAGTGACCAAAGATGTCTCTGTTCCATGACCAGGCCTGAAACCAGATTGAAATACACTAGGATCCGGGGAGGGCGTCTTCATTAGCAGTCTTATTACTCTCTCCTTTAAGCAAGCAGGGAAGGAAGCATTTACCACTCCCCATACCCAATCGGCCATTCCTCCTCTGGCTGCTTTTATGAGCCAGGAAGGGCAAGGGTCCAGCACACATGTGGTGGCATTCACCTCTCCAAGAATCCTGTCCACATCATCGAGCTGCACCATCTGAAAAGTATCCACTAAAACAGGACAAGCCGGGGCCAAAGTAACATCCACTGGGTCTGCATCAATTACAGCATCCAAGTCAGAGCAGATCCGAACGACTTTATATGCAAAGTGCCATGCAAATTTCTCACAACGGGTTATGGAGTGGTCAATATTTTTTTCTTTGGTTGGGGCATTTATGTTATGGCTTTCTCATAATGTAGAGATCCAAGATGACTTATAAAATATTGTAAAAACAGGTTCCTCTAAACACACACATTCTAATATTAAAAAGCAATTACCCTAATGGTTGTAATTTTGTTGTGTAATTTATGCCTACAGAAAGGTGATGACATCACTAACAGGGAGCAATTTTCAGAGATTAAAAACTTCCTACTTCTGTCCTGCAACTATTTTGAGTCCCACGTAATCCCTTTCATTTTGTGGGAGCCATGAGAATCATAGGATAGAAGGAGGAAGTCTTTAATTCAAAATCAGATAATATTAAAAGCAAGGACAGATTTTTTTAGTTATTAAAGAAGTTCCTTCCATCTTGCAGCTCCCGTTGCTTCCGTGCGGTACAAGGAAGGTCAAAAACCAGTTGGCATTTAGAAGAAAATATAAAAGCGTGAATATATTCAGATTTAACCTGCTACCTTGGTGGGTGTCTGAAGTGGCTTGTAGGGAAATATTCCATCATGGAGACATAGACAAATTCTTCCGCATCATTGATAACATCAAGAACTGCTGCAAGGTCAAAGGTGCGACCCTCTGGGCAAAATGAAAAAGGAGAAGCCTAGAAAAGAGGAATTATGTCGTTATTACAGCACCATTGGCGTTGCCAGGTGGCAGCATCTAATTCCCTTTGATTGGAACAACACTTGAGATCTAGGAGAGCCATTGTCATAGGGGAGGGCCATTGTGATGTCACAGAGGCAAGACAGGCATGAATAATTTATATTACAAATTAATTTGTACCTTAAACAATGGATTCCAAGCACAACACATCTGCTCTAAGACAGTGAGCCCCGGTATCATTAAGAAATGGGTGGGTAAAGTTTATAGCCACTACGCAACAAAAATGAAACTTTTTGTTCCTTTGTTCTCACCCTGAGATTTCTGCGCCTGCCTGGAGACCCAGATACAGTGGTGCCTCGCTAGACGATGATAATCCGTTCCACTGAAATCGCTGTTTAGTGAAATCATTGTCTAGCAAAAAGCATTTCCCCATTGGAATGCATTGAAACCTGTTTAATGTGTTCCAATGGGGAAGAATCGTCGTTGTCTAGCGAAGAACAGCCATAGGAAAGCCGCTTTGCGAACCGCTGATCAGCTGTTTAAATCGCTGTCTTGCGAAGCTTAAGTCCCAAAACACCTGTTTTGCGAGCACGGAGGGAGCTGTCAAAATCGTCGTCTAGCGAAAATCAGTTTGCGAAGCAGGGACCAAACATTGTCCAGCAAAATTCCCCCACAGGAATCACTGTTTTGTGAATCACTATAGCGATTGCAAAAAGTCAATGTCTAGCGAAAAAACTGTTATGCGGGGTAACTGTCTAGCGAGGCACCACTGTAAATGTAATAATTACCTGAGTTCAAATAGTGCCCTGAGATCTGGCAACCCTAAACATTGTCTATGTATCCCCAGGATCATTCAATAACAGTAAACATTTCCTTGTGAGAGTGAAAGGAAAATTTCACGATATACTTTCCATTCAAGTGCTTTTGGAACTCAGCGTAGGATTAGGCTTTACATCCACTTACAGAAAAATATGCTTTGGTGGTGGTTCCATTGAACTGTACTTCCAGAGGCTTGCGCCTGTTAATATTGGTAGAATAATTGCTTGGCCATGGAAATGGGATGGTGGCATTTGGCACTCCAAGGTCCCAATATGTTTGGAAGGTTTTCCAGAGGTCATTAGCTAGGCTGCCGCAGTTGCTGATCAAAACCCCAACCTCTTTCACCTGCAGAAAGAGAGAAAGAAGATAGAAGGCAACATGGGCTGTCATTAAAGGACTGTTCCTCTCTGTTCTGCATTCTGACATGTCCTGTCATGATTATCACCCTTTTGGATAAAGGCATGTTGCCTTGTTCTGGATCTTCTCTGTGATCACATAGAACAATGGCTTTCAGTCTATGTTTTAGAGGATAATAAGTGTATAGAGTGTATGCTTTTCATGCAGAACATTCCAGATTCAGTCTCCAATATAACCTGCCATTTAAAAAAAGAAATATCAGGTAAAAGAGATCAGGAAAGTCTTTTGCTTGAAACATTGGGGACTTCCCCTCAGCCAGAACAGGCCGTACTGAGCCAGGTAGATTAATATTATCCGTAAGATGAGAGTGCAAGGATTCCTCAAGAGAAGAGAAGTGCTAATGGATTAACTTCCCTGAAGGACAGGGAGCACATCAACACTGATCCTTCACCATATGGCTTTTTTGGTGGTAGATGTCTCAACATGCAGTCTAAGGGCTAAAATAAACGGGCTGTGGAGGAGCTATAAATAGGATCAAGACCATCTCACTGGGGGAAGGAGAGCTAGAAAGAAATATACAGCTCCATAGCAGCTATGAAGGAGTAGAGGATTTCATGGGGAAAACAAAGTGGCTATATGAAAAGAAAGACAGGGCTCCTGTACCTTTAATAGGTTTATAGAGCAGGAACTTTTGGCAGGTGTAACTTACCAGCAAGCTACACCTCCTGACCCTTCCACACCTGTGCAAATATAAAAAATGCAAGAGACTTGTTTTTCATTTTATGTGGTCACCCTAAATATTTTATAGAAGGAAAAACAAAGTCTCTCTTTAGGCCTATATTCCCAATGCATACCACCTTATTTCTTACTAATAATTAGAGATGGGGGAATTCATATACGAATGCCCCTGCACAGGTGGAGATAACCAGGGCCCAGCCCCCTGGGGCCGGATGGTCCACTCACCATTCCACCGCTGCCGCGACCTCTGCACTCCCATCCTATCACTCCGGCAATCGCGATCGGTGAGCCACTCTTCGACCTGGCAGAGAGGCTTATAATCCCGCCTCCTCCCAGGAATGGCAAGCCAGTCTCGATCTCCAGAGTGATACAGTGAGCACAGTGGATCGTGACAGTGGTATAATGGTGAGTGGACCGTCCGGCCCCAGAGGACTGGGCCCTCATTATTGCCACCTGTGCGGGGGTATTCGTATACAGTGGTGCCCCGCATAGCGACGTTAATCCGTTCCAGGATTAACGTCACTATCCGGATTCGTCGCAATGGGGGGGGGACCCCATAGGAACGCATTAAACTCCGTTTAATGCGTTCCTATTGGGGAAAAACTCACCGCTAGGCTTCCGGCCCCAGAGGACTGGGCCCTCATTATTGCCACCTGTGCGGGGGTATTCGTATACAGTGGTGCCCCGCATAGCGACGTTAATCCGTTCCAGGATTAACGTCACTATCCGGATTCGTCGCAATGGGGGGGGGACCCCATAGGAACGCATTAAACTCCGTTTAATGCGTTCCTATTGGGGAAAAACTCACCGCTAGGCTGGGAATCCTCCATCTGGCCGCCATTTTCGCCACCCGGTAAGCGAGGGCAGGGCACGAAAATGCTGCGGGCAGCCATTTTGTTAACCCGGTGGCAGGGAATCCTCCATCCGGCCACCATTTTCGACGCCTGGTAAGTGAGGCCAGGGCGCGAAAACGCTGCGGTTGGCCATTTTGTTGACCCGGCGGCCATTTTGGAACCACCGATCAGCTGTTCCCAAAACATCGCAATGCGATTGCATTAGCAATCGCAAAAAACTAGTCGCTATGCGGATTCATCGTTAAACGGTGCGCTCATTAAGCGAGGCACCATTGTACTACGAATACCCCACCTCTACTAATAATTTAAAAACTTGTGGTGAATGATCCCTTCCACCATCCTTCTCCTACACCATGTCTAACTCGGTGCCTGGTTAACACAGGATAACAATTTTATTCCGCAGATAGTAGCATAACTCAAATACAGTAGCTATGGCTAGAAGCAAAATTATATTACAAATTCATTTGCACCTTAAACGATGGATTCCAAGTTTTAATGTTCTGCCTAGATCCATCTTAATGGGATTTTTTTCCCTATGAATGTTCATTAGAAATTCAATTCAGCTTGTTATGTATTGCCAAGTTCAGCCTCGTTTTGTGTTCAGTTTTATATACTCCAATATTTCACCTGAGTCAAAGCCCTCCAGTCCACATTGGGGCTACCAAGAAAGATGTGCTTCCTGTCTACGATCCAGAATTTGGTGTGTAGGACACCGTGAGTCAGATGTCCAAAATTTACCCATTTTACATGAGCTCCTATAGAAAAGAAACAAAAATGGAGAATATGTGCAGCTGTAAATCAAGAAGCTTCCCATTGAAACATCTAGCCTTTAAATCCTAGTCTGGCTATTAATGGTTTGGGGTAGAGTTTAGAAATGATAATTCCCAGAAATCCAAACAAGGCTAGAAGACATTGGAACTTGTAGTGAAAGACCTAAATTTTATTTGGTATCATTAATCTCGGTGACAGCAAAGAATTAGAAAATAAAGCATGATGTTTCCATTAAATGTCTGGTATAAAGAAGTATGAAGGGATGTGGTGGCACTGTGGGTTAAACCGCAGAAGCCTCTGTGCTGCAGGGTTAGAAGACCAGCAGTCATAAGATCGAATACACACGATGGAGGGAGCTCCCGTCGCTTGTCCCAGCTCCTGCCAACCTAGCCGTTCGAAAGCATGTAAAAATGCAAGTAGATAAATAGGTACCACCATGGTGAGAAGGTAATGGCGTTCCGTGTCTAGTCGCACTGGCCACGTGACCATGGAAACTGTCTAGGGACAAACGCTGGCTCTATGGCTTGGAGACAGGGATGAGCACCGCGCCCTAGAGTCGGACACAAGTGGACTAAATGGGGCTTCATAAATGGGGGGGGGAGGTTTAATATATCTCCAAATGGTCCTGGTGGTGGGGTGCACTGTGTTTACATTATTTTTGTTTTTGTGCATATTAAGCTTTTTTCTTGGGTTCGCCTTGCTATGTAATTTTTTTTGTTTCTTTGTTATTTCTTTTCTCCTTTAAATAAAATTTTCAAAGCCAAACTTTTGTTCTGTTTTACTGTCAGGTCCTGCTAGATTTTGATTTGGGTGTCTCTACGTGAGAAGTAGCCCCATACATTTGGGTCCCTTTTTGGTTGTTTGCTGCTTGTGAAGGGGTCTGTCTTCTCATGGGCAATTATCATGGGCCCAGGAGTCAGTTCTCTGCTGTCCAGACACTCTGGGGGCCACACGGCCTGCAAAAAATGCCCCCAAATGGAATTTGTTAGAAATCCATGTCCAGTTTTGAAAAACTGATTTTCTAAGGTATTGAGAGGTTGGTCTATGCCTTTTTTTAAAAGTAGATCACCCATTCTGGAGGTTTCTGATGGGTACTATCCAGTCTTTGGGGGGGGGTCAGGAAAAAAGAGGGATCCAGAGGGACGGGGAAAAGCATTGGAGGGTCACACTTTGCCCAGCCCTGCTAAGGAGAGTCACAGATTAAGGAGGCACCTCATGACATAACTTTGATACTCTTTCCCCCTGCAGAATTCCATTCATATGCTACTTACGAGTAAACGGCCTTTCTTAAAACAGGCATGTACCTTTTCCCTCTAAGACCTTGAGGTCAGTTGAATGATAAACCTTGGATGGCACACTTGTTGCAATAAACATGGAGATATTTTCTGAAAGTAGACTTTCAAGTTTCTTGAGAATTTCTTCACCCTACAAAAGAAAAATCAAAGTACATATTTTGTATCACAGCTGGCCCACTAGGATAAGCATGTTGACATCAGAAGGAAGATTAGGTGGTGCAGCTGGTATTATGTAAAACTTTACATATAACTAGAGACCCTGATGTTGGGAAAATGTGAAGGCAAGAGGAGAAGGGGACGACAGAGGACGAGATGGTTGGATAGTGTCACCGAAGCAACCAACAGGAATTTGACCAAACTCTGGGAGGCAGTGGAAGACAGGAGGGCCTGGCGTGCTCTGGTCCATGGGGTCACGAAGAGTCAGACACGACTTAACGAGTAAACAACAACAACAGAGACAGGCAGAAACCACCAGTTTGGTGGTTCCTGCCAGTTTGTTGTTCAGCTGAACAAGCATTTGGTGCTTCCCAGCCCCGCCTACTCAGAAGCAGCACCCAGAGGAGGTGGGGCAAGGAAGCTGGGGTGCTGCCTCTGAGTGGGTGGAGCTGAGAAGCACCAACCGCCTGTTCAACTGAGTAACAAATCTCCAGATTGGCAGTTCATGCCCATCTCTATATGTAACATGTGCATTAAAAGGGCTGGCTGCATGAGGAACTCTTGCTTTTTGCCTCAGAGGATAATGTCCTTTCTGGGGCAAGGAAAAATGGAAGGACAGTTTATCTCATGGCATCACTCCATAAGAGATATATATATTCATCTGGCTGCGGCTACAAATCAGCTTGATTCGCAGCCTGTTTTACACGTCTGTCCACATTAGATGATCAAAAAGAGACTGCAGGTTGTTTCTGTGCCAGGGTTCACACCGGCCCCTCCATCGGATGCCGTTTGATCATGAGACAGCCTTCCTCCCTTTAATCCCACCCTCTAGAGATCCCCTGTTCTCCTCTTACCGTTCCTTGTAAAGCCACTGAGTTGTTTAAAGTGCTGTGTATCGCTAGGAAAGAGGGACGGTTTCCTAAAGTCTCGTCCTATACAAACACGTATACACATACCAGAAACATAGTCTGCTGTCGTTTTTCAGAGTTGTTTCTATTTTATATTGATTTTTATCTTTGTTTGTTAGTTTGTTTGTTCAGAGGTGATCTAGTGCTAAAGGAATATATCCGTGTAGTGACCAAGCAATCAAGCAATAAACTCATTAGTTTTTGTTTTAATTTTTAGTTACTCTGGGGCGATTAGGAAAAAAGATTGTGAGGGTGGGTGTTCCCACTCTCCAAAACATCAAGCACAGCTCAGTGTGGGCACAGATGACTACCCACAGTCTCTCACACACTCATCCTTTTGCAGAATAAAACAACTAATCCCATGGGGAAAAGTCAATTCAAATCATTATTTTTTAAAAAGGAGATGCTCCCTATAGCAGAGAGAACAGTTCCATGTTGGGAGAAAAAAAGGGGGGCAGATGGATTCAAATGGGTGTTTGAGTGATGTGATCAGTTATTTAAAAAGTGCCTTTTGCAGAATAAAACAACTAATCCCATAGGGAAAACTCAATTCAAATCATTATTTTTAAAAAAGGAGATGCTCCCTGTAGCAGAGAGAACAATTCTATGTTGGGAGCACAAAAAAAAAGGGGCAGACGGATTCAAATGGGCCTTTGAGTGATGCGATCAGTTTTTTAAAAAGTGAATTCATCTACTTTACACTCACAACAAATCCCATAATATTTGACCATGGTGTTTGACCATGTAGTTCCTGGCCATGTTTGAGTATGTATGCGTCAGGTCAGTGTATCCCCGGTGGAACCTTCATTGTGAGGCTGAAACTGATTCTTTGTAGGGGGTATGAATGGCTGCATAATTCATCTGTTTTACACTCACAACAAATCCCATAATATCTGACCATGTGGTGTTTGACCATGTAGTTCCTGGCTATGTTTGAGCATGTATGTGTCAGGTCAGTGTATCCCTGGTTGAACCCTCACTGTGAGGCTGAAACTGATTCTTCGTAGGGGGTATGAATGCTACACCCTAAACCAGTAACAACCACCATCCGTTGACATCCCTGTCCCCTATCCACCTGCAAATTAAAAAACAACAGCTCTCTTATCTCACCTGTTGAGATGATGTGTCATTGACATCAAGATCCTTTCCAGTCAGCGTCCAATAATAAGAAACCACATGTATGCTTTCGTGGGTCATATTTAAGAGCTCCATCCAGGCTTGGTATAAAGGCTTTGCAGCACTACTGTTTGGTCCATATGGCATATCCTGTGGGAGGCTTTCCACCAGCTGAAAACTACAGCAGGAATGAGAAATGAATATTTTGCCTTGAAAATAGTTGCAGCAAAGAATTAAGGTCTCCATGATCAGAGCTAATTTCAAGAGACAAAGGCTGACTTCAGCAGACCCTCTCTACGGGCTGGTGTTATACTAGCCAAGCAACCATGGACATATTTTGGATTCAAGGCCCTTTATTTTATTTTATTTTATTCATGCATGCACATTATGTGTGTATGTATTTGCACATAAAAGACATGTCTCCATCGTTGGCTAACAGATTTGGTTTTGGGTCAAGTGACTCCTAGTATAAGAGTATGTACCTGAATTATGTGACCTACAGCTTTGAGAGACAGCAGAATGGTATATATGTTTCTTCAGCATCGCCCATACATATGGACACAGTTCGGACCTAGGGACTCAGCAGCAGGGGATTTCTCTACTTCCTTCTGCAGTTGACGGCCCTAATACTAGGCAGGGTGAAGCACTCAACTCAGGCAGCAAATGCGGAGTGTCAGAGCAGTGCCATGTTAGTTATTTACTCTGTTGTTATTATATTCTGAGTACTCTCTGCCTAGAAATCTCTGAAAAGAATCACCATGTTGGAATTGAATTGCTGGTACATGAGGAAGATGATGATGTTTTCACTGGCATGGATGGAGAGAAGGACAGTAACTACGGGGAACTGGTTCCAAGCCCTGGCCTCCATGGACTCTGAAAAATGCAAATTATAGCAAATGTTATTTTAATAGCAAATGCTATACATAGCCTGGTTTTTGTCTCCCTTTATTGGCCAGCTCTGGCAATGACATCATGGGAATATACAGTAGTTGTATCTAGCAAACACTATACAGTGGTGCCTCGCTTAATGAGTGCACCGTTTAACGACGAATCCGCATAGCGATGCATTTTTGCGATCGCTTTTACAATCGCATTGCGATGTTTTCTATGGGCAAACATCGCATCGCATTTCACTTACCAATCTTCACATTGCGATGTTTGGGAAACAGCTGATTGGCGGTTCCAAAATGGCCACAGGAAGAGGAAAATGGCCGCCGGCGGCATTTTCACGCCGATTCCTTGCTTACCGAGATAGTGAAAATAGTACTCTGAAAAATGCAAATTATAGCAAATGTTATTTTAATAGCAAATGCTATACATAGCCTGGTTTCTGTCTCCCTTTATTGGCCAGCTCTGGTAATGACATCATGGGAATATAGTTGTATCTAGCAAACACTATACATGGCATGGTCTCTGGCTCCCTCTAGCCGCCTGTTCTGGTACTTTCATCTTTAGAAATATATATTTCTAGGATTTTTCTTTTAATGTTTTTAATATTTTCAGATTGTGGATAGGTGAATCAGTGGGTACTGATCCTACAGATAAGGGAGTTTTACTATATTTATAATACAAATTTAAAAGTTGAAAGATGACAGAGAGGGCACAGAAAACAAGCGTAGGCTGAAAAGGCCTCAGAGAATCAGATACAGACTTTTTGACCAGCTTACTTGCATAAATCCTGCAGGTTATGAAGAACTGTGCTGTCATTCTTTACAGTGATTACAGTTGAGAATTTCATGAGAGAAATCATTAGCACAAGAAACAGCCAAGCAACCACAATCAGTCGAAACACCTAGAATGAGAAAAGTGTTGCCATAAAATGAGGTCTGTCCACAGCTTGGAAGAGTGAATATAAAGACTTGTTAAAGCAATCTTCTCAGGAGAGAGGACAGAGTGATGGACTAGGGCTCAGGGAACCTGGATTCGAATCCTTGCTGGGCCATGAAAACTGAAGCGGGGAGTTACACAGGTAAAACTACTCTTTAAATATCTTGTATACCTTAAAATGCTATTGTGGTCCTTATAAGCCATGTGCAAATTCATGGCACACAGCAATAAAGCCATTCCTAACTGATAAGTTGTATGATGATGCTATGGGATCCTTTACACTTATTCTTCTTCAGAGTATATTTCCAAATTCTTGTCTGAGTTCAGAAGGGCAAAAAGCCAGTGGGACCATCTGGGCAGGAGCTTGGAGTAGATGTCCAGGGCCTCTCGAACCAGAAGCAACAGGAATGTCCTCCAGGGTGGCAGGGTGAGTAAGTTTTCCACATTTTAAAGGAAATGAAGCCAACACAGATTACCACCTACAGCACACGTAGAATCTAAATCCAATTATATTATGATAAGAAAACAAAGCAGTATCTGTAAGCAAAGAAGAATTAAGGGAGCACTTCTTCTCCATATATCACACATGAATCGAAGCCAAGCTGAGACACAGGATGTTTGACAATCGGAGGTGTAATGAAAGCAGAGCTAGCAGGATTGAAAGTTTGGAATCTCTGAATAACAAGGGTTATGAAATCATCCACCACACTTTTAGCTTCCTTGTTTCCCTTGAACTTAACTGCAACCCTAATGGTAGCTGGGAAAGGAGCTGATTTTACCAGCAACAGTATTTTATTGCAAGTAATCCTTGTAGTAAAGAAAGGGAGGTTTGGTTCTGAATGGACAATTAAGAACCATTGGCTTTACACAAGAACTGCTCCCTATTTGGTAACATGGAGTGATCCAGGTGCCTCCATGTCCAGACTCTGGATGAGGGAGATTGGCTCTGAAGATTGTCATAAAGCCTGCCTGCAGTTCTAAATATATAATTCTGGTGAGTAAGACAATGCCCCCTCTGGTGTCGATCTTCGTCTCCTTTCAGCATGAAGTTAAGATGTGGCTGTTTACCTACAAGACCAGAGACTGGCTCGTTTTTGGCCTTATAGATCGTGGTATTGCTTTTCTGCTTTTAATCGTTTGTACCAAAGATTGTGTGTTTGTGTTTGTTGCTTTTACACCAGCATTCATGTTTCTTGAGTAAATCTCCATTAATGTCATGAGCAGGCTGAAGTGTGTATCTCTTCATTGCTGCTGTATTGTTCTCAGAATTAGAGTTAGGGGTTTGGTTCATGTTTCCTCAATTCAAGAATGATACTTATGCATACATACCCAGAGACAGTACAGCTTGTAAAAACAAAACAGTCATTTACTTCTCTTTTTCAAAGTCAGAGAAGAAGGTGGGAGAACCAGACCTGAACCTGATTTCACTTCCCAAAGCTTAAAAAGAGTTTCATTTATCAAAATGAGTGATATGCTGCAGATCATGTGCTACACAGCAGGTGGACGGGGCTTCCCCTTTATATTTTCAGCATGCTTATAATGGCTAAATACAGCAGGCTGGGCTTTTCCTATTCAGATTACATGCTACTGCTGTGATAAGAGTGGGTGTTAAGCGGGTTGACCCACTCGTAAGGAAGCCCCCACCCCTTCTGTTGGCATTTTGTTTATGCAGGCAACTTGAAAAGGACAGGGGGTTCTTCTTGTGTGTAGGCTGTACACACATGAGCAGGAACCTTGGAAAAATCTGTATTTTTGTTCATAGGTAGTGTCTACGTGCAATCAGGACCCTTCTCTTCAGATCTATTATGGTTGTACAAAGCAAACATGGAGCCAGTCGGGGTTTGGTGTCCCAGACCCTTCCGAGAATCAAGGGACTACGATGCCTGAACAGGGCTTGTGTAACTTCCTGTAGTAGTACTAAAATTTCCTCACTTTTTCTCTGCCCTCCTCATTCCTGTCCCTTAAGTATCTTCTATACTAAATTATGAACATACATAGTAAACGGACGATGGCGATAATGATTGATGGCTCATCCACCAGCCTTCGAAGCCAATCAAAACAGACTTTGAAAATCATTGCAATAGAACAAGTTTGTCTATAGTCCTTATACATTGGCAGTAGATTTCCAAGCGTATTCTGAGAGGCATCCAAAACTGGTAGATGACCATCGCTGAAAGACAAGGATGAGGATGATAGTGAGGGCGGCTTGGAGGAGCGCTACACTTTTGGAATGTCTCATCTCTCATCATTTCAACAAGCTGGATTTTTATTTTTATTTGAACAGTCTGGTTGGTCCAAAGACAACGGATGCAAAGTCAGTCCTTACAGAACAAGAAACTGGACTTCAGGCTCCACTTACAGTTAATTGCATCCCCTGGAAGCATCTACATAGGGTTGCAGATTGGATTTCACAACTACAAAATTCTAATATGCGAGACACATTGATATAGAGGCATTTTATTATCCCTTTGCTGTAACTCAGTTTTGTTCTTTTACTTACGACTTGAGTGCCTTTTTGATCATTTGGGTGCAATATCAAACAAAACGGCCCATTGGATGTCGGTGGTTTTACTGGAGTCTTTTTCATGACCTATAAATGTGTGACAAAGAAATAAAAGAAATAGAAGAAACTATTCCAGGGCACTCAGTAAGGGTTGTCCTCTGTTTTTTAAGTATAGTTATGACTATCCATATCTGCCTGCATGACAGACACCCTCCTTGCTTGTTAGAGAGGAGCCTGGGATTTATTATAGGAGAGGAATCAGGAATCTTTGGCCCTCCAGATGCTGACGAACTGCCACTTCCATCATATGTCATCAGTAGCCAGGCTGACTAATGGGAATTGGAGTACAACAGCATTAGGTGTTTCATATGCTCCCCAGTCCTGTACTAAGGTGTGCAATCAATTAATACAAAGCTGTGGTGATACAGTAAATAGCCACTTTGGACCCAGGATCGCTTGCACCATTTCCTATCAACTCTGCCTTGAGCCACGATTCTCAGCCCCCTCCCTCAAAATAAGGAGAAAGGTCATACCTTAAACATAAAAAAAGAGGACGTATTGCTGTTTGTTTTCCTAAAACTCACCTGCAGATTCACTTTGTACTGGGGCAATGCCCCAGTTGCTCCACGTTAGTAACAACTTTGCAAAAGGGTGAGGACTAAAACATTAGCCGATGTAAGGAGCTAAGCCAAAAGGGAAGGACTGCAAACTTTTGAAATGAAGAAACAGAAATCATAGACAATCAGGAGAGCAACAGTGTCACGCACCCCTGGGAAGATAGTTTTGGCTGGAAGATCTGAACTTCCCACCCCTGCTATAAATACAGGGGTCACTGCAGGTGACTTGAGTGAAATAATAAGACCAGACATAAGACCAGTCAATGGTTGATGGTATTTTAGTCATGAATTTTAATAGGAACAATGAGCTGAGATGGGGGTGGGGAGAGATCAGTTGGAAATGTGTGTTGGAGGGAATCTTTATGGAGATCATGGAACACCAAAAAGGCAAAGAAGAGGGTTCTAGATCAAATCTGCCTGGATACCTCAGTGGCTTAGGTATCTGGCTCTGGAGCTTGATTTCCCACTGTGCCTCCCACATGTAGAGCCAGCCTATGTGGCCTTGGGCAAGCTGCACAGTCCCAGGGCACCCCGAGAAGAAGGGAATGCCAAACCACTTCCGAGTAGAATCATAGAACCATGAAATTGGAAGGGGCCTATAAGGCCATCAAGTCCAACCCCCTGCTCGAGGCAGGAATACAAATCAAAGGATATCTGCCAGGTGGTTGTCTAAGTTTCTCTTGAATGCCTCCAGTGTTGGAGCACTCACCACCTCTCGAGGTAATTGGTTCCACTGCATTCTCTACCTGGAAAACCTGAAAAGGTTGCTATAAGTCAGAACTGACATCATCATCACCATCATTAGGTCAGTCAAATCAAGCCTGATCTTGAGGTTGTCGTACTTTGGGCAAATCAGGGGAAGATGTGACTTACAGGGGAGGAAATCATTCTGGGAAAAGTTGAAGGCAGTAGGAAAAGAAAGACCTAACATGAGCTGGATAGATTCAACGAGTAGCTCACAGCTTTTTAGCTTGCAAGACCTGAGCTAGGCACTTAATGATGGGACCTCATCCATGTTTCCATCTAGGTGGCTGGCTAGCACAGTAGTTTGGACCACTGGGTTATGAGTTTGATACTATGCTGTCTAGGAGAAGTGCCAGCCTGTGTGATCTTGAGTAAGTAGCACAGTCCTAGTATGACACCAGAATAAGAGACTGGTGATCCAGAATACAGTATCTTATGCCTAGAAAACCCCTGGAAGGATCAAGATAAGGCAGAATTGACTTGAAGTGTCACATAATTATGAATTAATTCATAGGATCGCCGTAAGGCAGACACACCTTGATGGTATATAAAAACAACTGCCAATCGCAGGCGGATGATGGGAGCGATTCCTCTATCTTCCCCACAACTAAACAAAGCAAGGATGTTTATTTCTGTCTGCAACAGGGAAGTCAGTCTGGATTGCAACCAAGGCTGGAAAATAATTTCTTGAGGCCTGCAACACAGAATCATGTGTGTCCGTGCAAGGCATTTACCTGCCTGATGCAGAAGTAAATTCCTTCCTTTTCCTGGGACTTGGATCAACACTTTAAAATGTCTTGCTGAAACATTATGATACCCAATTCCTGTCGTCATCATCATCTTTCTCTCTCTCTCTCTCTCTCTGTCTCTCTCTCTCTCTCTCCTGCTGTCTCTTACACACCGGTACATAGTGTCACCTGAATCTGATTTTCAGCCTGTTGCATGGCAGGACTAGCTCCCATCAGGGAATTTTCATCATCCTTTTGCAGTAGTACCACTACCTGTTCCATTAGCTCAAGGGGTGGGCAACTTTTAGTCCAGTGGATGCCGTTCACTTGCGATTTGCCTTTGTCCCTCACCACTGACTATGGTTTGATGGGAGATGCAGTCTAACATCTGGAAGGCCACAAGTGTCTTAGCTGAATAAGGAGCCAAGTACTCATGAAGGACCAAGTAGTAAGTGTGGAGATCGACTCTACTCTATTCCCACCACTCTTCAAACATCCTCCGTTGGCAGATGGCTGAAGACAAGAGCAAAGATCAGCCATCAGGGTAGGCAAAGTGTGGCTTGTTTGAGCGCAACTCTCAGCGCTCCTCCCCATGCCTGTGCTGGCTAAGGCTGTTGGAACTTGTAGTTCAACAACTTTTTGATAACTTTTACATATGTTATATGTAAATACTGTCTTCATAAGAAATTAATATTTATCCAAAGTCCTTTAATTACTCTACACAGAACAGCCTTATTGTTATTATTTTTTAATTGTCTACCTCAGAATTTCCTGTTTCACATCTAGGGTTGTGAGCAGACGTCTCTTTCTCAGTAGTGGAGCCCAAACAGAGATGGGAAATGTGACTTTTTTTTAGACCAGGAAAAGATCATGCAGAGTTCTGAACTTCAAAAAAGTGACGCATCCTGTATCTGGAACACGAATTCCTTTTGAAACGTGGGTGCTGGGGCCCAAACATGCCAAGCGGTCAACCCTACTCAGAATTTGTTGCACAAGTGACATGTTTTCTGCCACTATCCTACGGCCTCATCATCATCCTTGCCTTGTACATCTCAAGAAAGCAATTGCCTTCATCAGTATACTGAAGTCATTTATTATCAGAGAAGAAAAGACTTACTGGAAAAGACAATAACGCTAGGAAAAAAGAAGAAGAGCTAAACAAGATGGATTGACTCAAGAAAGGAGTTTGCAAGAACTGATAGGACCTTTGGGCAGTCATTATAATTCATAGGATCACTACAAGTTAGTTAGAATCCACTTGATAGCACATAATATACTATAAAAATTCAGAAAGGCTTACCATATGGGAAGTCAACTCCAGCTGCTGTTTCTCTGCCCTCCTGTAGATAAACTGAGAGTGGAAGTGGTTGCAGGGCTATAGTTAACACTTGGCATCTGTTGGGGATGGGGTGGAGTTTAGTGACTCCCCACTAGAGCCACGGGCTCAACTTCCTCTTTTATACCAGAATGTAACACTCTGTCGCCACATGTTTAACTAAGTCCCAGAAGGTCTTGGAGGGGGCACTCTGGTGATAGCTGTGATAATACAGTAAGGGAAGTAGATGTCTGGACAGTCAATGGGTTATGATTGATTTGAAGAAGGTATGACAGAATTTTTTTGGGGGGGGGGCACAGGTTAAGCTGCATGAGGCTATCTCAACCGAAACAACACTTGCAGCACTATGTTGGTCTTGAAGGCGGCACAAAGGCTTTTGCTCTTTTGCCCTTCGTGTTTCTGTTACCATCATTTCTTTGTGTGCTGTTGTCGTCTATGGTCAAATCAGTTCTGCAGGTTTTTGAAATGCTGTCAAAAAATCTTTGCACGTCCACACCAATCATCAGATACTTTTAAAAAAGTGGGGGAAGATTGTCAGTTTCTGGACCCCATTGTCATGCCCATTTTCATCTGCTTCTGTAAACATGCAACACTCCATGTTTTCAGAGAGGTCTCAGGTTGGTGCTAGATAGAAACCAATACAGTATAGGGATTTAAGGAGGGCTGCCATAACAGCAGCAGAAGCAGAGTGTCAGTTGAACATACGAAAGGTTACTAGTTTATTGGAACAGTAAGATGGAGGTAGCCCACGACACTTATTCCTATGGATGGCAGGCTTTCTACATGGGTGCAATGTATAGTTAAGTCACCTTCAATTTACAGCAGGCGTGTCCAACCTTTCACCTTCCCTGGGCCACATTAGAAGATGAAATTTTGGTTTGGGCCACATGGGGGGGCAGACCTAGCCGTCCTCCACAGCCCCACTCCAAGTGCGCTTACCGGCAGCTGTAATCTCAGACAGCAGAGGCTGCCAGCTTCGATTCTGGTGGATTTATGGGGCCGGGAAGGGGTCCACCTATTGACGGGGATGGTGCAATGCAGTCACACAGCCCTCCCCTCCCACTCCTTCCTTCCTTCCCTCTCTCCCTCCCCTACTGTTGTGACGTGCCTCAGCCACATTCCAGCCACAAGCGCCAGCAGTGTATCTTGAAACTTTGGAATTTCTTTAAAAATAAAAAATTGCACTGGGCCGCATTACGAGCTGACCTGGGCCGTATGCGGCCCTCGGGCCACGGGTTGGACAAGGCTGATTTACAGCAACCCTAACATGGTATTTGAGCTATATGAATTATCATCACTATCCCCAGTAAGCTTGAATAATGAAAAATGGGATTTTAAGTCTAGGTCTCCTGTCTCTGGCGCTACACTGTCCACTACAACAGACTGGCACTGGGCTCCTTGTTAGGCAACTGTGGGAATAATCAGTCATAGCTCCTTGTGCGTTCTTATGTTCTTACGAGCTGACCTGGGCCGTACCAGAAGGTATGTGTGGAGAGACACCAGAAGACCAGATGAGGAGTGAAGATGAGACTGGCGAGTGAGGACTTGCAACAAGTTACTATGGGGTGTATTATTTCGCAAGGTGCCATTATTTTGCCAGACAGCCATTATGTTTTCCAAAATACTCCATTTCCACCGCCCCCTGCTCTTCCCTCCTCCAACACATGATCTTCTATGGCCATGCTCATTGCACTACTTTGAAGTCAGTTGTTTTTTAAATCCAGAATGATTTTTCAGTTTTTACCCTGATGTTAAGTGTGGAAATCACCTCCAGACTTGTTGATGCCTTATTCCTGTGTGTTTTCAGCCTCAGAATTTTGGGATTTTCCTTCTACGTGTTTAATGACTTCAGAAATACTACAGTCAACCCTCGACTTACAAACGTAATCCATTCCGGAAGGACGTTCATAAGTCGAATCAGCATTTCCCATAGGAATGCATTGAAAACCAATTACTGTACTCCATTCCAGCTGTTTTTGGTTCTTAGGTCAAGGGGCAGTTTGTAAGTCGAAGCATTAGTTCCCATAGGAACTAATGCAAAGCCGGTTAATACGTTCCTACCAGTAGGGGCAGAATTTTTTTCTTTTTTCTTTCCATTTAACCTAAAATAGGTTAAAAAAGAGGAAAGAAAAGAGTTCGTAACTCGAAGCAAAGTTCGCAAGTCAAGGCAATATTTTCCTATCAGAGTGGTTCATAAGCTGAAATGTTCGTAATTAGGGTCGTTCATAACTGGGCTGACTATATATTTAACTGGGCAGAAAGCTGAAATGTTCGTAATTAGGGTCGTTCGTAAGTCGAGGGCTGACTATATATTTAACTGGGCAGTCTACATAAAGAAAAAGAAATTTCAGACCATGTGAAGGGCGGAATTTATTTTCAGTAGATGAACGCCTTTAACTGTTAATTAAAACTACCCAACTTGGATCTTGACTTTTTAAAATGTAATTGAACAATTATAATTTTCTCATTAGTAGAAGTATTATCAACTTTGTCTTTACTTTCAATGAATTTGGCCACATACTACATAAAGAAAAAGAAATTTCAGACCATGTGAAGGGCGGAATTTATTTTCAGTAGATGAACGCCTTTAACTGTTAATTAAAACTACCCAACTTGGATCTTGACTTTTTAAAATGTAATTGAACAATTATAATTTTCTCATTAGTAGAAGTATTATCAACTTTGTCTTTACTTTCAATGAATTTGGCCACATCATTGGAGATTTGATCTATTCCAACATGGAGAACCTTCCTGTCTTGCTCCCGGCATTTCTTGGTCGGTTGTTCACAACCTCAGGCCCTCAGATATTCTCTTGATCTATTCCAACATGGAGAACCTTCCTTTCTTGCTTCTGGCATTTCTTGGTCGGTAGTTCATAACCCCAGGCCCCCAGATGTTCTCAGACTAAAATTTTCAGAAGCCTTCACCAGTAGCTGTGCTGGTCAGGATTTCTGGGGGAAATATCACTTTCAGAGACATTGGCACCCACTCCACTCAGGCTGATCTCCTAAGAGTGCCCATTCTGAGGGAAGCAAAGGAACCAATCCTTCTTGGTTGTGGCCCCACATTTGTGGAACAACTTGCCCAAGGAGATCTGTCAGGCCCCTTCCCTCCCAGCCTTCAAGAACTGCCTAAGACCAGGAAGCCTTTGAAACTCTCCCCCTGCATTAATTTGGAGCATGGCTTTTCCATCATCCATTGGATTGGATTGGATTGTTTTCGGACTGAGATTAGTTTATTTTGAGTAGTTGAGATTGACTGGGGAAGGGTATGAATGGGAAGGTGATTGTTAACCACCTACACTAGATCAGGTGATACAGACATGGCTGTAATAAATAAATAAACATCTCATGAGAAGAGAAGACTCCCTGGAAAAGACCCTGATGTTAGGAAAGTGTGAAGGCAAGAGGAGAAGGGGATGACAGAGGATGAGATGGTTAGACAGTGTCATCGAAGCGACCAACATGACTTTGACCCAAGTCTGGGAGGCAGTGGAAGACAGGAGGGCCTGGCGTGCTCTTGTCCATGGGTTTACAAAGGATCAGACACAACTAAATGACTAAACAACAACTCACAAAGGCTTCCAGAAATATATCAGTATCTAGGCATATAACATCTTGTGGAAAATGAAAAAAAATGATTTATTATACCAAATTTATGATAAAATTATATAAAATAACCATTTATTTTGTTTTGAAAGACATCCACATCATCACTTAGGAACAAAAATGTACAGATCAAATTGCCTATCAACCGAACAAAATAAATTACAATTTAAAAAAAAATCCAGAAGACAAGATGGAGAAAAAACAAAACCCAACTGTCTATGGATCAGGGAAGATATGGCAAAATAATGGATCTTAAAATTATACACCGTGTTTCAAAGAGGCTATGGAAATGAAAGATAAGAGGAGAAAACAGAAACCACTCTTAACATTCTGTCTATGGTTTGAATTTATACAAAGGTGATTTTCAGCTATACTCTCATTCAGCTCAGCTTGTATTTTGTGTGTAGCATGCAGATGGAATGGATGACCTTGTGAACATTCGTGAACATTTTTTCCCGAACAGCAGAAAATAGTTTCAGCAGCATAACAACAGCAGATGATTAGGCACAATTCAGCAAGGGGCACATCAGAAAGTGAACAAGTAGTTAATGAACTTTTTACAGCTGCGAAGTCATGTATGCATTTGCTGGCTTCTAGAAAGGGGCCAAAGGCAGGAAAGAAATGAACAACAGAAGGAAGTAAACCTAGTATCAGTAGCATCTCGCACTTATAAATTAATACTAAAAGTAGGTTATCTGTAAACATTCAGAGAAAACATTTTTTGAAATCATTTAAAGATTATTTGGGGCCATTCGCTCATTACAGATCTTGGGTATATGTACCTTAGACATGATAAACGTATATTTTACAGTGTAGTGTTTGTGCGGAACATGAGCACCATATGAATATACTCCCCGGAGCGCCACTGTAGGCACTGTCTCTTTACACAGTGCACACTGTGATAAACCTCATGTTGTCTGTGTGTAATGTGTGAAATGGTCTCAGAGGTGATTTGCAGGACAAATTTTGCCAGGCTGAAACTTGTACAAGTTGCCTTTCGCCACTCCAACAAGTGGGGCACATTCATACCCTCATCTTCTGAACACACCTAAAAATATGGCCTTAAAAATTTGAAACCCTGCTCTCTTTGACCACCAGACGGACGTAGGCTGCAATCATAAAGTACAATTATCAGTTCGAACTTTGCACAAGTCTTTAACCTGGGTAAATGTGGCCTCGTGCATTGCTGCATAATTTACCATGTCATCAGTTGTATGAGAATGACACTACATTATTCCCTCCAAAACATACAGGCATTCTTTTCACAATTTACATTCATAGAATCATAATGGAACAAGAAGAATTTAACAATCAAAGAGAAGTAAACCATCAAAAGAAAACAACTTGTTTTTCAAGCTTCTGGAACAAATCTGCAGTTTTCAGAATGAATCCTGAGGAAAACTAGACACCCAACTAACCATTGAACTTCAATGGGATATAAGCTTTTCATTCCCCTGAAACTTTATGAGCAAAGTATGGATGTTTAATTTAAGAACAATACAAGCAAAACCATACAATATAAACAAAAAAGGGATGATTGAAGAATAACCCAAAATCACTTACAGAAAAGCTCCCAACAACCAGTCATAATCCTGAAATAAATGGAATCTAGACTCTTCAAAAGCATAAGATGAAAATTTAACAAATTGTATAAAGTTGGGGATGTACATATGCATTAGAGTGGGTTGGGTTAGGATGGGTTGGGGACAATATCTGACCCTCTAACTAGAGATGGGGGTGAATATCCCCCCACAGGTGGAAATAACGAGGGTTGTCCGCAGTAGATTAGCCACTCCTGGCAGGAGGCGGGATGACAAGCCTCATTGCCAGGTCGAAGAGTGCCTAATCCATTGTGGACAACGGCACAATAGGAAGGCTATGTCGAGCTTGCGTCAACAGCAAAATGGTGAGTGGATATTATTTCCACCTGTGGGGGGGATATTCGTATACAAATACCCCCATCTCTACCTCTAACCGTTGTAGCCCATATGTTCCATCAACCTACAACTCCCACATGAGTTCAAAAACTTGGGACAGAGAAAGACTCCATTAGAGCGACCAAAAGAGGAGATAATGAGTCTGGTGGCTTCCTCTTTGGTGTAATTGCATCTGACATAATAAAGACCAAACTGAATGCGGAATCACAATGAAGGTATGGTTAACCAACATTCCTATGCCCACTGGATGTCTATATGCAGATATAATATTGGCATAAGATACATGCACACAAGCTCAGATGTCTGCTTGATTTTATGCAACTTACAAAACCCACAGAGTTTACACAAATTGTGCCTCAGTATGGACCGCTAGAAGGTAGGGCAGGTGTAAACTTGTTACTCCCAGAGATTCTAAACTGGGCCAATGTTTTCATTTTGGTGACAGTGCATTTCAAACAAAAAGACTCCTATTGAGATCTGGTGCTGGCAATTACCGCTTATGGTGTTGCATTACCAGTTATTTATTAATTATTAATTTATTCCCAGTGAAGAACTGGGTGAGCCAAGAGTGTTGCAAACCAGTCATTCCCTCTGGGCATGCTTACCTGAAGACCTAAATCAAGAAATATGCAGAGCTTAATAACGTTATATTTTTGGACCACAACTTCCAGGACTGTTTTGAAAACAAAATTAATAAAGTTTGTGGCTGGATCAATGTCAGAAAACATCAGTGTGTGTCCATACTGCAGCAGCAGTATTTGTATTAATGAAGTCCCTACACAATGAAGCATCTAAGAAAGATACATGCTACCTGGAAAAAAAAAATACAGCTGAACGGCACGGATCTTTTTTCCCTTTAGTATTAAGGCTATGGGCTTTCGTTTGTCTGCCAGCTCAATTTTATTTCTGTTATTTTGGAGTTTGAAATACTGTCCGGTGTAATTCTTTGTTATTTCTTCTCTTAGCTACATCCATATGCTTTATCCAGACAACCCCTAAGCTTCACAAACAATCTGTTTCGAGCCAAACAAGTTTTCTTTTTCTAAGCCTTATTTACAGCGAACTGGCAAATGACTACAAGGAGATTAAGACAAGTGTCCAAAAGCAGTCATGGACAGCTGGCTGGACAAATTCCAAGGGTCCAAAATCTGCACATGTTTTGCCTTCAGGAGAGACCACCCTTGTCTCCCAAAAACCTTGTTTTACCAAGTGCTCTCTGGGGTGGGGTGGGGGCACAGGAGCAATTTTGCTATGTTTTTGCTGCCCCAACCTGCTTTAGGCTCAGAAATTGCTTCTTGTTTTGAAACCAGACCTAAAACAGGTCAGGAGGAACCAAAACTTAGCTCAATGGCTCCAAAGCCATCTAAAGAGGGTGTCAAGGGTCTCCGTGAAGCCTGCGGATCACACATTTCCACCCCTGATGTACAGCATCTCTGAATATAACCTGCCCGTTTTCAACAATAAGACGAGAAACATTTTCCTTTGGCAGCCGCCAGTTCCCGCAACTCAAATACTGTATGTATTTCCCCCAACCACTAATTTGGCAAAATGGAGTTAAAAACCGTCTCTTTAAATGGGGGAAAAAGCTGATGTTATTTGTAGCACACATTTCAGAATTTGCTAGGAAATCACCTTTGGTGTTAGCCAGAATTGGAAATGTCACAACATTAAACCATACTAATAATACTATGTTTAAAAGTCAGCCACTTGACACATGACTTCGCATACGACAAACAGGGTTCACATACCTAGAGGAAACAGTAAGAGGGCAGAACCAGTATGAGAAGTGAACTGAGGCTTAAGCTATTGCTTTGAGAAAAAAATCAACATCATTGTTCCACTTGGGTATCCCAATCTTTGTCAGCAAAATTCTCATTCATTTTGGTATTAACCAAAGCAGCGAAAGAATAAGTTAATTTACAGGAGCACAGAGAATACACTAGGCTGAAGCTTATGGATACATCTCAAAATATATCAGATGTAGTGCCCAGATTTCTCTAAGGTTTGCATAACTAGCTTCAGCTCACTGATAGGGTGCTGGAGCACATCTTGGTTGCACACCTGATCATATGCCTGATTATGCACCAAGATGTGCCCTGGCATCTTGTCTATTAGCTGCAATAAGTTCTAAAAATTACACAAGCAGCAATAGCACTCCAATTAATGCTCTCAAAATGTACTCCGACTATCTTCATCCATGTGAGCTATGTAGGGCAATAGCTGGAGTCTCACCATTATCTGTGGCAACCTTTGTGATCTCTAACCTACATTACAGAGAAGATAATTATTGCTAAGTTGCCATGACTTTGTCTGGGGGGGGTGGTCTTCCAGGCCTGTGCAAACTTGAGAAGATTGTGAACTTAGACATTTCTTAGGGCTTGAAGAACAGCATAGGTACCACAGACTCAACAAAGCTGTTGTTCCCATTTTGCATGGGACACATGACAAACTTAGAGGCAGCACAAGTGAATTCTTGGTTTGCTCACCTCGCTTGTAACAGCTTAAGGCAGCCCCCGATGCGCATGCTTTGCCAAAGGCCTCCCAAAATCCTGGAGCTGGCAGGATGTGGAACTAGGCCACATCTTGGGCCGCTCAATACAGGACTCTTAAGGAGTGTAAAACATGGCCTATATGCTCTTCAGTTGCTTAGGGATCAATAAACCTTAGGGGCATGGGTGGAGGAGCATCATGGCACAGTGGTTAAATTGCAATACAGCCGTGAAGACAGTTCTGGGCTCAGGTAGCCGCATCAAGGTTGACTCAACCTCCCACCCTTCCAAGATGGGTAGACTTGCTTGGAGGGGTGCAATGTGTAGCCTGCCTAACTAAATTGTAAACCACCCAGAGAAGGCTTTAAGTACTATAGGGCAATATATAACCAGCACATCTGTTGCTTTAGAAAGCAGCGGGAGTTATGATTACGCTCGCAATTGTTTCCCAGACATGGAACCTACTCTCTTAAGTCCCTCTGAAATTATATGCAGCAAACAGAGGTTTCTGTAGATTGTGTTAAAAAGACATTATGACCACATAAAAGCTTTGTTACACAGTAACTCTCATGAAATGGTATATAAATTTGGCAATCTTGCTAGACACATGCCAAACCTGGTCACTGACTTGTCTCTCCTAACGCCAAAACATTTGGAAAATAACTGTTCAACTGAATAATGATTGATCGATCATCGCAAAGTGAAAATACCCCATAGGGAACATCGTAAAGCAATCGCAAAAGCGATTGCAAAAAGTTTGTCTCAAAGCGATTTTGTCGCTTAAACGGAGTGCTCACTAAGCGAGGCACCACTGTATAACCAGCACACCTTTTGCTTTAGAAAGCAATGGGAGTTATGATTACACTCGCAAACGTTTCCCAGACATGGAACCTACTCTCTTAAGTCCCTCTGAAATTATATGCAGCAAACAGAGGTTTCTGTAGATTGTGTTAAAAAGACATTATGACCACATAAAAGCTTTGTTACACAGTAACTCTCATGAAATGGTATATAAATTTGGCAATCTTGCTAGACACATCCCAAACCTGGTCATTGACTTGTCTCTCCTACGCCAAAACGTTTGGAAAACAACTGTTCAACTGAATAATGAAGACCATAAGAAAAGCAAAAATCCAAACTTAACTACTGGCTCTCCATCCTCTGCACTTTTTATTACCCATTTCCAGGGGAAGTAATAAAAGCCATTACGTTTGGAAGCAGAATGATTCAATGCAATCTTTGTTTCTTATTTGAAAAGGTTTCGCAATTAACTGCTCGTTGTCTTCTGAAAGACACCTGCCACACTGTAGACTGCTCAGCCAGGCAATGAAAAAGTAAATTCTGATCGAATGCTTTAATAGTCTGTTATTTAAAATTAAATATACAGCACCAGCCAGTCACTGCCACCCTGCAAAAAGTACATTTTCAAACCGGAGCTTCTATACAACCAAACAGATAGTGGTGAACAAGTTAAATACAAGAACATTATAGTGCTTCGGCAGTATGGAGTGAAGAATATGCAAAGCCTGTTTTGCTATGGCACATTGGAATCACACATTGGTAGCTTTCTATTAAAAAATCAGAGTCTGCCTCTATGCTGAATATGTGCTGTTCCACAGTGCTAGTCTTTTTTAACCTTCAAAAGGCATATGCATAGGCCTGCCACTCACCCCACACAGCATAGATTGTACCTTGGGTTTTTTTCTTCTTCTTTTGTGCAATGTGTTAGCAATCTAAACAACTGCTCCACGCAGACTTGCCCACAACCACTCATACACAATACTAACGCCACGGGTAAATTACATACAAGAGGGTAAGCAATAATTAAAAAAAAGATGCTGTTAGATCACATATTTATCCCCGTCTGGAACAAATGTAGTATCCTGAAGGCTAGTGGAACCAAAGTTCGACTTCTGGGTGTAACTTCTTTTCTTGACAGGGGACAACGCTTCCAACACAGACCCAGAAATGTTGTTAGCAGTCCTGACTTTAGAAGCTGAAGATGGCGGTGTCAGAGAAGACGTTTTGTTATTGGCAAGCATATCCAAGTTTCCACTTGGGTCAATGATGGCGTTGATAACTGCAGAAAAAGCAGAATTAAACAAGATCAATATCAAAGGTAAAAGGGGGATGGAAGGTTTGTTAGTTTGTGTAGTGAACAGCCCTGGCCCTCTCCTGCTCGTCACCGTAGAACATTGAAGCAGGAGCCAATGAGTGGACGGAAGGTGGAGCCAAAGGGGGAGGGAGCTGGATAAAAAGACTGGTGGATGGAGTCAGAGAGAGAGAGACTGTGTAGCTAAAAAGTGATCGACAAGAGAGAGAGAGAGAGAGAGACTGTGTGTAGCTAAAAAGTGATTGACGAGTGAGTTAGAGATCTATAAGAGCATAGATTGAAGCAGAGTGTTGAAGAAGTTTGATGTCATATCCTATCTGATTCTTATATAAGTGATTGACAGCCTGTGATTTGTCTTATGGATATATATTGATTATTAACTCCCCTGATTAAATAAAAGAGAAGTTTTAATAGCACATGTGTCTCCATACTCAACTGATATTAAAGCAATAATATCTGGTGGCAGTGAAGAAGAAGGAAGAGCGAGATCCTTGTGAAGGCCTGGGGGGATAGGGGGTTCAGAGGAAATCACCAGTTTGTTTATATACCACCCCATTAGTGCCGCATTATCCTGAGTGGTTTACAAACAGTTAAAATGAACTACACAAAGCAATAAACAGTAAATTCCAACACAGATAACAAAAGCATACTATAAAAAAAACCAATAGCGCTAAACCAGTTTTTGCACCAAAGGGAAACTGGAGGAGAGGCATTCAACCTGGGTCGACATGAAAGGCCTCCCTGAAAAATAGTATTTTTAAATGCCTCCTGAATGAGTACAGGGAGGGGGCCAGGCATGGCTCCTCTGGGAACTGATTCCATAACCTCAGTGCCACTGCTAAGAAGGCCTTACCTCTAGTAAATGACTTTCAGGTCTGTCTCAGGGTGGCTACACAGAGGAGCCTGGCCTGAGAAGATCTGATAAGTCGGGCAGATGATACAGGAGAAGGATACTCTGACAGGTTTACACTGGGATCTCTCCTGTTCAGCATCAATGCGCCAATATTTGAACTTTTGTATGTATAAAGTGTTAAAATACAATTAAGGGGGTACAGAAAAAGTTGCATTGAAAACAAAACTGTTTAAAAGTGAAGCTTGGAAATTGTTTACTATAGCAAAACAATTAGCCAACAAAGTCAATGAATTATAAATAATCCTGGCAGCCGAATGATGTTTTGGTTACAATTTGTAAACACAGAGATGATGTATGCATGTCTGATAGTTGGCACTCTTTGTTGTTTTGATGCATTGCACTACAATATTTGGCCTTTTAAGAATTTATTTAGGGTTTAATTCAATAAATGTTATCAGCATAAAGGCAAATTGTAGACTACAGTCCGCAATTATAATATATGTAACAACAATACATTTCTCCAATGTGAAAAGTATTCTTGGATATTTAAACATTTGCAGATAAGGTTTGTTTACAGTTAGAAGGAAAGGAAAACAATTGGTAAGAATTATAAATATAGGGAGATAAAACAGACTCATTAAATCTTTGTTCATTCTGTTTTCACAGTCCAGGATGTAAAATTTCAGCAGCAACAAAAAACATCAACAAAACTCCCTACTGTTTACCGGAGTTTTTGTGCATTTTCATATTTAGGATTTTGTTTGTTTGTCTGTTTGTCTGCAGAAGTGTATTTTGAAAAACAAGAACAGAACAACAATCCTTGTATTTAGCACAGAAGTCTGCAGAAGTGTATTTTGAAAAACAAGACCAGAACAACAATCCTTGTATTTAGCACGGCACTGGATTTTTGTGGCAATTGACAGTTCTTTCTATGAGACATCTCAGTGTCATCTCAGTGTGTTGCAATATCTTTTCTGACTCAAGAACAACAAACATTGTGCATGTTTTTTCCATTGTTAGAATTCATTGGGTAACAGTGAGCCAGTGGCCAAAATCCTGTTTAGCAGTTATTCTGGTGAAACGAAATAGTGTGTCATGCACTGGCAAATTGCAACTAATCAACAAGTCCTTCTCGAAGGCTTTCACAGACGGGATCCGATGGTCACAGACAGAGTTCTAACTCCTGTCCTCTGAAGTTGCCAGCCACAGAAACTGGAAAAACGTTAGGAAGAAAAACCTTTGGAACATGGCCAAACAGCCAGAAAAACCTACATCTAACAGGTCCTTGTTTAGATTTCTTCTTGAGTGTTAGGTGCACTTGGAATCCAAATGGCGATTTGTTAATTCATGAGAATTTGCTGTTGATAACACTTACACCATTTGCCTTCTGCCACTGCTGCTACACAACAAGATTTTGGCCACTGGCTCCCTCTGCCTTGTCTTGCAGGGTTGTTGTGAGTCCAAAATGACAGGGAACGGGGCTACAGCTATATATGCAACACTCAGGTTATTGAGAAAAGTGGGTTATAAACATAACAAAAAGTAATATGTAAATAAGGCTAGACACAACAAACCTTCAAGTTGTTTCTGGACTCTGCGTAGCTCCTTTAGAATAGAGCTGATTTCCTAAAAAATAAACAACAAACAGGTTAGCTATTCAAACATTTACACAACTGAGACCAATAAGAATATTGCTTCATTTTATTATCTCTGGTGGAGATGATTTATAACTCACACGGTGGTCAACCATTAGAATCTGAAGCACTGATTCTAAATCTCAATTTTTTAATGGCCCATTTTAGAAACTTTGTCAGTTAAACTTTTATTTCTGAAATCTGTTTTGTTTTCTAGATATAAAATGTGTGGATATTTCCACTGAAACGTACAAGACTATTCATGAAATGCTAGTCCATTAAAATGGAAGAAAGAAACAAATCCAAGTCAAAATCCGTAAGAAAGCCAACTTGTGATCTTTCAACTTCAACTTCACATTTTAATGCTGCCTCAGAATTTCAAACCAACAGCATCTTTTAAAAACAAGCCTCCTTGCACATGAGTTAGGAGAAATATTTCCCACCTTGTTTGAAGTCTTCAGAATTGGCACTTCATTTTCAGAGTTAATTTTGGCTTCAATCTCCTCCCAGGATCGCTCAGTGTTCTGGAACAGAATTCTGAAACAAACTCATAAAGGTTAGTCTCTAGTTGAAGACTTGATTGTCCATCTTGTGGTACTAGACAGAGGCCCAGTCTATCTACAGGAGGCAAAGAAGGCCTGAAGAAATCCCGAGCCCCCCCTCCCTCTATCTGCTCCACACTGGAGGTAAACTTGGCCTCTTTAAGGTATGGGGCCTGGTCTAATTGCTTTACACCAGAGATGAACCAGGCCTCCAGAACTCCTAGTCCAGAAATGACCCTTTTTGTCACTGATCCAGTTGGCGCTCCATTTTCTTGGAATGCACCCTGAGTACTAAGCAAGGTATTACTGTATTAATAAAGCTGTCCATCTCTAGTTCTGCTGTACAAAAATATCAGTTTGGCCAGTGCTTCTCCAAGCTAATCCTATTCAGAGCTTGAAAGTGACTAGCTACAGATAACATAGTTATCTACCTTGTTTTCCCTAAAATAAGACCTAACCTGAAAATAAGCCCTAGTATGATTTTTCAAGGGACATGGTGGCACTGTGGGTTAAACCGCAGAAGCCTCTGTGCTGCAAGGTTGGAAGACCAGCAGTCGTAAGATCAAATCCATGTGATGGAGTGAGATCCCGTCGCTTGTCCCAGCTCCTGCCAACCTAGCAGTTCGAAAGCATGTAAAAATGCAAGTAAATAAATAGGTATCACCATGGGGGGAAGGTAATGGCATTCCGTGTCTAGTCACGTTGGCCACGTGCCCGCGGAAACTGGCTTTGGACAAACACTGGCTCTACGGCTTAGAAACGGAGATGAGCACCGCCCCCTAGAGTCGGACACGACTGGATTAAATGTCAAGGGGAACCTTTACCTATGATTTTTTTCAGGATGCTCGTAATATAAGCCCTACTCCAAAAATAAGCCCCAGTTGTGAAACCCCGCCCTTCACCATTGTGCAGCAACCAGAAGATGATGACATGGCTGTATTTGAATAAATGTAGATTGTTGTACATGAAAAAAAAAACTCCTGAAAATAAGTCCTAATATGTTTTTTGGAGCAAAAAATAATATGAGACCCTGTCTTATTTTCAGGGAAACATGATATAGGTGATTACTTTGGGGTAATGAACCATATAACAAATAATTCAGAAGCTATATTTTAGGTACAGTATAATTAATTAAGTCCCAAGTTTAAAAAAAACACCTAGTCACTTTCAAATGTTATTATTAATGGCATTTAAAACATATTAAAGTGTATTTTTATAAACATTTCCAAAATACAATATCAGACTCCTTGGATTTTTCCTGACATGCTGGTAATGCCAATGCAATTTGTTAATAACACACAATGTAACTGATTTTTCACATTGGTGGCGCAATGGCAATGATCACAATCTGGCTGCCGAGAAGTAATCAGCGATACAATGAATTACTTCTAAAATCTAACATTCCAAACTCCAGTCACACCATTAATCAAAAAGAACCAACAACTTCAGGTGGCAGATGGTGGGGATATGCAATTCAGCCCCTCTGCTTCCCTCTTGCACCTTCTGCTAACCTGCTATTCTCAACAGGATTAGACTACCCAATTCCTGTACTAAAGGTTGAATTGCCAGTGCTGTCATGTTTCTGGACATGGATAGCAGGAAGTGTTATCTTGTCATGGATGGATGGATGGATGGATGGATGGATGGATGGATGGATGGATGGATGGATGGATGGATATACCACCCATCTAGCAAGATCACTACTCTAGTGTACAATAAATACCATAAAGAAACATAAATTATAAAATTACTATGAGACATTAAAATATCCTACAAGTGAACAACAAGACAGGACAGATGGCAAAATAACAGTTTCTCATCATGCAATTCCTCACCTTCCTCCTCCACTGTCCCAATTAACTGGGAAGAGCCTCTGCAAATGCTTCCCTAAAAAGCTCTGTTTTAAAGAGCTTTCTAAAAACGTGAAGCGAGTGCACCTTCCGTAACTCTTACAGGAGAGCATTCCATAGGAGAGCCCCACTGTTTGGAAAGCCCAGTTTTTAGTTGACATTTTTCAGGCTTCTCAAGATGTCAACACCCACAGGCATGAGCTTTATGAGGGCCAGGTCAGACAGGCAAATGAACATGACAGAAGATGTTCAGACAAGCAATGAGGTCCCAAATTGTTGAGGGGTTGATACATTAGAACCAACACCAGAATAGAGTTGGGGGTGATGTCATCAAACTTCCTAGCAATCAATCTGGCCACCACATTCTGGACCTCCTGAAACTTCCAAATCAGCTTCAAGAGGAGCCCTAGACAGAGCGCATTGCAGTAGTCAATTTTGAGACTACCAGCCCATAGACCAACGTTGTTAGGGACCCCATCCTATCCCCAAGGCCCACAGACAGAGCCCTTGACTCGGATGCAATAGGAGAAGAGATGCTGCCTCAGGCTGCAAAATGTCTTGGACTAGCCCAGCAAAGTGGGGAAGGTGGCAATACCACAGTGCTGTTTCAGTTGAGACTCACTTCATTTTCTCTGCTAAGTTCTCCGTGTTTTCTCGGATCGTGTGTGACAACTGGGACACTGGGTTTAGCATCAAATTATCAAAGATGACCTGGAACACAGAAACCAACCATCATGTTAACACTTCTTTCAATAGACACTGGTAGTTAGCAGAGACGTTTTTACCTAATGGTTATAAGCCTATGACTGGAGGATTATCCCAAATGAAGTGATGGTTTGTGACACAGGAAAGAGAGGAGGGGGTCCATTTTTCTTTGGTACCCACTGTAGATTAAAACACTGACTACATATTGGGATTCTTTGTGATCATGTAAAATATAATGATATTTGAAACAGGGCCTATTTCTGTTTTTTTATCAAGTCAGAATAGAAATCTGAAGAAAATCGACATATATGCAGTGTTTTTTACCAAACTAAGAGAAAGAAACTTACCTCTTCCCTGTTTCTTATCCTTGTCTTTCTTGTTGGATCTTCATCTCGATTATCATTCATATTTTGGTCAAAATCATGGAATCCCATTGAACCAGGAGGCACCTTCCGGTAATTTAGACTTGCTTCTCCCTGAACCTTTCAGGCTGGTACTCTGACACACAGTAGTACCCTGTCAGACACCCAGACTCCCACAACAGCTTCTTCTTCCCCAGCTGCTGCTTCGTCCCAACCCAGTGTCTCACAGGCTGTCTCAGCAACTCCTTTCACCACACAGGCATCACATATTTATACAGTACAGCCCCTCCTCCTGATGTCCCGCCTTCCACTCCCCATAGGATGGAACTTTCCCTCCAAACCCATGACAGACAGGTAACATCAGTGCTGTTATGTAACACCTCCCCTCTTTATAAGTTGTTTTGTAGGGGGAAAGCTAAGGTGCTTTTTCCCAAAAAACAACCTGTATAAAACACACAA